TAGTCATCCTGAAAATTTTAAAATTAAAAGCAAAAAAGGTAAAACAAATAAAGGGCACAACCGTTTTTCCCCGCCAACATTTTTACTTCTCCATGACCTCCGTAAACATTCTAGTAAAATATGCGAAACAGGACTTCATAATCACTTAGATGGTAAGCAAATACGAATAGCTGTTAGATTCAGGTAAAAATCGCCAGCTTAATGAATGCTCCAATAAAGGAGAACGACAGAGTGATAAAATCACAGTCGAAGAACGTGAAACTGAGAGCAAACATTAAAAACGAACTAAAATTGCGCTAAATTTGAGTGAAGCATTCCAGCATCGTGTCATTCATAATCTACAACCCCAGCAGCCGCAAACACTCAGTGATGATTTAACAAACAAACCACAAGTTTAGGTGGGAAACATCTTGGAAGGGAAATATCGTACAGGACATGTTCCTATCATGAGGCACATATCCAGTTACAAATCATTCACAATCCTTCCGCATTCGCTCCAAACGAGGGCCAGTGGCACTTCGAAATTCTGAGGACAGCAAGTATCAGCAGCAACTACTGCCGACGACTTTCCTTTTTGGAGAATTTGTTATGAAAAGTTGGTGATAGAAACAAACAGTCTTGCCAAGAAAATCTCAACATATCCAGTAAATCTGTCCTTCACAGCTATAAAATTAGGCTACCTGCACCGACGATCCTTCCGGTTTCTGTTCTTTATAACGCCTTATCTTTTTCAAATGTGGAATTTTGATATCAATCTCCGACAATCCCTCATCTTCATGCTGTACTTTTCGCTTCATTTTAGGCGTATCTGATTTCTCTTTGCCCCTCTCTTCGGCTTTTTTTCCAATGGACCTAAATACATCATAATTGCATCATTTTCGCCATCAAAACCACTACTGGTTAATGAAAAGTTTATGCCGCAACCTCCCGAAAAACTCAAAGAATGATAAACTTAAACGAACCTGCTAATTTTCCGCGCAATCTCGCGTAGTTTTGCAATTTTCTCAGGCGATAAATATTTCTCAACGATAGCCTTTGCATCATCATCGTCGTCTGAGGTTGGCTCACATACAGCTTGTCGTTTGGTCCCGGATGCTGCCCTTTTTTTTCCCTGCCTAAACGCTCTCTTGTTTCGAGAAAATTCTAAGTATGCTCACTTATTTTGAATGGCACAAAAAATATCAAAATACCGGGAATGCCTGAGCAATATGGATATGAATACCACGTCAGTGATGCTAAACAAATGGCTCCAAATGCCAAGCGTAGCTATGCCCAATCCTTCAATCCTGAACTGCACGGCTGCTGCTGCTGGCCCCCACCGCCTGTTTGATATATATGAGCATAAAGCACTGCTTCAATGGCGCTTATGCTCTTGTGGATGCTACTCACTGAACGCGAAAATCAACAACTGCTCTCAAGAAAAACAAAATGCCTTGCCCATCAAATTTACGTAAAGTTGTCGTCTTTTGCAAAAGAAAAAAGAAAAACAAAAAAAAAGGAAACTAACGCTTTTTCATTTTCATCAAAAAAATTATGACGTGTGAAAGTCTTTGCCGCGCCAGTTAAAATTGCTGTTGTTTCGGTTCCTTTTGTTTTGATCACGCTTGCATCACCTACAGTGCATGTAATACTATCAGTCCAGATAAAATGCCAGTACATGCTGATAAAATTCGCGTTTTTCCAAGAAAATCTTTCCGAAAGAAATCATAGCAAGACAGATATGTTCACTTTATAAAATAAATGGCCAACGCATGGGCTGCCCGTGCGAAGATCCGTTTTTTGCAGAGTTCCCCGCAGTTTTTGTTGCTACCGGCCTCGGTTTTTCGGTAGATGCTTCTAAGCTGAAAGAATTTCAGTTGGCCGCCAGAACTGTCAAAAACATCCCCTCAAAATTCCAGTCTTCTAGCTTTTCAAGTTCTCGGG